GCCCGATACCCTGGCAGAGCTTTTGCCACAACGCTCGCCAACATGGGCGATTCTAGAAGGCGGGGGGCGGCGGTGCTTCGCCGTAGGCGTCTTCGATAATATCAGCATCCTCAGCATCGTCGTTTGAGCTGATCCCGCATCCTCATCATCATCATCAGCAGCGGCATCATCATCACCACCATCACCATCATCATCAGCATCATCATCATCAGAAGCAGCAGCAGCATAATGATCATCCTCATCCTCAACATCTTCATTGAGCTGCTCCCGCGGTCCGCTCAGCGGCTCGCCGCCGGCACTCTGGCGCACCAGACCCTGGAGCTCCGAGCAGAGCTCACGTACGGTGGGCTGCGACAGGGTCATGGTGGGGCCAGGCGCCTGTGCAGCGGCAGGAGGCAGGGGGAAAGTAAGATGGGGGAGAAAGGGCAAGGAGCAACACGAGAAGGGAGAAGGCAGGAAGAGGAGGACGACGACGAGGACGAGGAAGACGACGAGACGAAGGCGGACGATGAGAAGGATGAAGGAGGAAGGGCGACGAGGACGACGAGAACGACAACGACGACGACGACGACGACGACGACGACGACGACGACGACAACGAGGACGACAGAGCCATGCTGGGGCCGCCGTGCGACTGGGCGGGCGCGCGCAGGCTGCCAGGCGCCCAGGGGGCGCGCCAGGACGACGACGACGAGGACGACGACGAGGACGACGAGGACGACGAGGACCACAACGAGGAAGGCGCGCGCAGGCTGGCCTCCTCCCTCCGAGGACGGGCCCGACCCGCATCAGGACGGCGAGGGCGACAAGAAACGGCCGGGAGGGCGACCTTTCCGCTCTCCTCCTCCTCCTCCTCCTCCTCCTCCTCCTCCTCTCCTTCCTCTTCTTCTCATGTGTACTATTAGTCGTGTTCTTAGCACCCGTATGGTTACTGGTATGATGGGTATTATTAGTCTTCCCATTAGTACTATTAGTAATAGTGTTCGTAGTACTGCGTTGATTATTACTATTACTCTTGTGTTCAGCACTTATAAGCTGTTGTCGTGCTGTTTGCGTTCATGTTTTTGTTATTAGCGTTCGTATCCTTAGTCGGCCTATCCATAGTATTCTTCTTCGTCGTAGATATTATCATTAGTGTTGTCATTGCTGTAGCATTATTATTATTAGTGTTATGGTTCGTCGGCTTACTTTTCGTATTGGTAAAATTCTGAAAATTCGTCGTCCTGTTAGTATACGGAGTACGGTTATTATTAAGATTTGTCTTGTTATTAATATCAGTACTATCAGTAGTGTTGTTGTTACTATTTACTCGTATTATGCTTTGTGTTCTTAGTATGCTTAGTATTATTCTTATTTCTCCGCCATCTATGTATCCTCCTCCTCATCTTCCTCCTCGTCGTCCTCCTCCTCCTCAACCTCCTCATCTTTTCCTCCTCATTATCTGCATCCTTCCTCCTCCTCTTCTTACTGTGTGTTGTTAGTTGCCCTCTGTATGGTTAGTCTTCATATGATTACTGTGATTCGTACGAGTAAAATTCGCATTATTAGTGTTAGCATACTTGTTGTTGTCAGAATTATGATGGGTAGAAATAGTAGTACGAATATTATAATTACTACTTGAAAACACTAGTAGTAGAGTACATGCTGTTATGTGTACTATTGGTGTTAGTCGGACTATGCCTCGCTTTAATGGTATTAGTGGTATGTGTAACGTTATTCGCATTACCAATATCATCCGTATTACACTTGCTATTACTATTGACAATATCAGTTGCACTATGTGTATTGTTGTTGTGGTTCGTAGTGGTAATACTCTCCGGAATAATAGTCTGAGTGTTCTTATTATTCATATGTTTATTAATATGGTTGCTATTGTTATTACTATTATGACCAACATTATTCCTCCTCCTCCTCCTCCCATCCTCACGATCATCGCCACCAACACCATCATCAGCAGCAGCAGCATCGCTAACACCACCCCAGGCAGCAGTATCATCATCACCACCATCATCATCCTCATCCCCACCCTCATCCTCATCCTCATCATCATCATCATCACCATGAGCACCATAATTATCATCAATAACATCATCATCAGCATCGTCAGTAACATCATGATCATCATCATCATCATCATCCTCATTCGCATCATCATCACCATCATCAATATCATCATCATACTCATCATGAGCATCATCACGATCATCATCCCCATCATCATCCTCATCATCATCAGCATCATCACGGCCATCATCATCATCCTCATCATCATCACCATCAGCATCATCATCATCGTCGTCATAGACATCGTCATCGCCATCGCCATCGCCATCGCCATCGTCATCATCATCATCATCACAATCAGCAAGCATGTCGCCGTCGCCAGTATCGCCAACACCAACAACAGCTTCACCATCGTCATCATCATCATCAGCAGCAGCAGCGGGCGTGTGGGAACTTAGTGTAGGCCCGCCCCCCTCCCCTTCCATGGCAGAGACCCCCTGCCCCCCCCCCCCCCCCCCCCCCCCCCCCCCCCCCCCCCCCCAACATAGCTGAGCTGAAACTCTTGTTTTTTTGACATGCTCGCACGCCGACTCGGTGGATTCTTGTTAGCTGCTTCTCCTTTCACGGGGCCTCTCGTTGCCACGGGCGGGCGCATCTCCAGAGAGCTGGGCCCTGGGAGGGGCCCCGTGGGGCCGACTGCAAATCGGCAGTGGGCCCGATGGCGGCGGCGGCGGCGGCGCCGCCGAGTTGCGGTCACGAAGAGAGGGGGAGGAGGAGGAGGAGGAGGAGGAGGAGGAGGAGGAGGAGGAGAAGGAGGAGGAGGAGGAGGACGAGGAGGAGGAGGAGGAGGAAGAGGAAGAGGATGGGGAGGAGGAGTGGGAGGAGGAGGAGGAGGAGGAGGAGGAGGAGGAGGAGGAGGAGGAGGATGGGGCAGGAGGACTATTTCCTCGGGCTATGTCCTGTATGCGAGAGGGGCCTTTCTTGAAAGGGGCCCTCACGGGGGGGCGCACTCTCTTACAATCCCCGCTCAACGGTAGACATCAGGGTGCTGAAACATCTCGTTTGGACGCTCCATCCCAGCGGCCTTTGGCCACAGACACGAACTCGAGATACAGCGGGCCAAACGCCCACTGCGAAACAGGGGTTTCTCGGTTCACCCCAAACCTCCTCCTGGTGCTTTTCGCATAACTATTGTTCTTTTCGGGTTTAGCACCAACCCTCAGGAGCGGGAGGACTTACCACTCCCATGACCTAACAAAGAGCTCAGGATGCAATCGCACAAGAAGGAATGTGGCCAGCCGTAGTGCACGATGACCTTCAACATGTACAGCGCCATGATCCTGCAGACGGTATGGGATAAGTGGGAGCCCGAACGCTGTGGCGATACCTCGGTGCCCCCCCAGCCCGAGAGAGAGATTGACGTTGCACTGTTCATCCCCCCGCAACACACACTGTCCATCCCGGTGGCCGCGGGCCCGTGGCAGATGATGCGCAGAACCGGAATGGGTTTCCAGCGAAGCTCTGGCCGTGGGGCGGCGAGTTGCCACGACGCGTAGCCTTTGCTGGCCCCACTTGTCGCTGGGGCGGCGCACGATCCCCTCCTTCTCCCCACGCCGTTGAGGAGCCCTCCATGTACCTGCTGCCCTCCAGCCTGCTCTCTGCCGCGGTCTATGTCTGGCGGCTCCCCGTCGGCATTGCCGCTCCCAGGGGGGCGACGGGGGTGACGACGAGGTTTGGTCAGGGGCAACGGTTGGGAGGGGGATAGGTACAGGGGGGATGCATCGGCCTCCAATCGCCAATTGATCGCCGATAGGTGCCCGATAGCCCCACCCCGCCCAGGAGGCTGCGGATTCGCTGTCGGGAGCCTATCGCCGATCTGTCGGCGATGTATCGCCGATTCCCGGTCGATGCATCCCCCCCTGTGCCAGTCCCCCCCTATCGGTGCCCCTCATTTGGACACCCGAAATGGGTGTGGGAAAAATGCGTACGATGCCAAACATCAGGTGTTGCCCAAAACCGACAGCGGCCGCTGTTGGCCCCTGGGCCTTCTGTCTCGAATGGACCATGTCCGTCCCGACACAGACAGCGAACCCTGTTCAAAATGAACAGGAACTGCTTTCGGTCTTCGTACCACTTGCTTCCGTATCCATTCTGTGCCCTGGCGTGTACCGCGCGCCAGGCGGGTCCAGCGTCGCTCAAAGAAATCCGAGCGGACCGCTGCAAGTTTACGGAGCACCCCGCAATTGCGGGCGCGGGGTGGGTCACGGGTGGGTCGCGGGCGAGTCGCGGGTGGTTCGCGAGTTAGGTCGCCCGTGCGTTGCGGGTGTCGCTGGTGGGTCGCAGGTGGGTCGCCGGTGGGTCGCGCGTGGGTCGCGGGTGGGTCGCGGGTGGGTCGCGGGCGGGTCGCGCATGGGTCGCCGGTGGGTCGCGGGTGGGTCGCGGGCGGGGTCGCGGGCGGGTCGCGGGCGGGTCGCGGGCGGGTCGCGGGGCGGGTCGCGCGTGGGTCGCGGGTGGGTCGCGGGTGGGGCGCGGGTGGGGCGCGGGTGGGTCGCAGCAGGCCAGTTCGCGGGCGGGACGACGACAACCAACAGTATCAACAGCAACAATAACAGCAACAACAAAAACACCAACAACAGCACCACCACCACCACCAACAACGACGACAACACCACCACCACCACCACCAACAACAACAACAACAACAACCAAACAACAACAACAACAACAACAACAACAACAACAACAACAACAACAACAACAACAACAACAACAACAACAACAACAACAACAACAACATTATCAGCATCATCATCATCATCACCATCATCATATCATCATCATCATCGTCGTCATCATCATCATCATCCTCATCAACACCATCATCATCAACAACAACAACAACGATTTTAAGACTGTTCGCCCTTATCTGCTCGAGTGTCCAATAACGCGTACTTCCCAAACCCTCTATACCCGCCCTCTTCGTCTTCGATCGAACCCCTTTTGGGGGGTAGACCTTTCTTCCCTGCAGGCCGGGCCCCGGCAAGCGGCGGGGCGGCCGCGGACCGTCGGCCTGGCCAGCGGCAGCGCTGATCGGCGGGGCGGCCGCGGACCGTCGACCCGACCCCAAGAGGGACGGACAGGGGACCGACCACGACGACGACGACGACGACGACGACGACGTCGAAGACGACGGCGACGACGACGACGACGGCGACGACGAGCGAAAGCGAGAGCGAGAGAGAACGACAGCAGGGCCACGAAGGGTACGAAGTAGGCCACGAAGGGCGACAGCGGGGACACGAAGGGAATGCGTATGGGGCCACGAAGAGCGCGAACGAGCGGGGGCCACGAAGTGCAGATAATGCGGGGCCACAGAAGGCAACTATGGGGCCACTGAGGGTAGCAACTGGGCCACGTAGGACAGTGAGGGGGACACAAATGGCGACAGCGGGGCCACGAAGGGCATGCACATGGGGCCACAACGGGCGCGACTCCTGGGTGCCTGGGTGTCGGGAGCGCGGCGCTTGGGCAAATTGCAGGAAATTCCAAAGCAAGGCCATTCTTCAGTAAGTTGCAAGCAAGTCTCCAGCGAGAGCGCGACTCCAGAGCGCCGGGAGAGCGACTCCTGAATAAATTATCAGGAAGTCCCAAGCGAGTCGCGATTCCTGAATGAAATGCGAGGAAGTCTCGGGCGGGAGCGGGGGTCCTGGCTAAATTGAAAGCAAGTCTCAAGCGGGAGCCGTTGTTGTTGTAACCCGGGGGCCAGGGGCCCAGTTTTGAGCATCAAGACCTTCCCTGTTAAATAACAGGGTGCGAGCGTCGAGGGGCACACTTTGCTTGGGAATATACCATATGCGCCGGTGGGGGGGGGAATCAACAATAATTATTCTTCAAAAATGAAAATTCAACAACAACAACAACAACAACAACAACATCAACAACAACAACAACAACAACAACAACAACAACAATCATTTAAGACTGGGGACACTCCGTTCTCACCAGTGCCAGGGTTTTCATAGGAGGCGGGCAATACCCCCACTTTGTGGGGGGGCCGGTTCAAGCTCTACCAAATTTCCAAACGACTCTTCGCCACCACCCACACCCAGCTTCCCGCCCTATGACGTTCGGACACTTCACTTCGTGGCATGCGGACGACCGTGGCTACTATTCAGGGCCCCGCGGCCGACGACGACGGCGTGCGCGCGCGAAGAAAAAACGAATGTGTCCAATATGGTATTATTTGACAGGGATGATGGCCCTGGCATGCGCGCAACCGTTGTTGCAGAAGTTCGAAGCACGTGAAAAAGTTGCTCGCAAGAGCCCGTTTGACAGAAATGTTGAAAAAATATTGGGTTTCCTCAGAAATCCGCAAGAGCGCGCAAGATGAATGTTTGAAACTTTTTTTTTGAAAAACCATTGGGTTTTTCATGTTTTTATGTTAAAATCGCTACGAAAACTAAGGTTTTGGAAGGATTTCATCTTGCGCGCGCGAGTGTGCACTTCGTGTCATTTTTTCAAAGGATTCTTGAAGTTTGGTTATGTTAGAACAAGAAATTTCATTTTATAGTGTTTTTTGCAAGGGAAAGCGGGCGTCAACAAAACAACCGGATCCGGACACCCACGTTTTGCCTGAGACTTCCTCACGAAAATGATGAAAATGTGGCTGCGGCCTAGGCGCGGCGAGGGGGGCGCGCACCAGGGGTCCCAACAATAATTATTCTTTAGAATAAATAATGTTCAACAACAACAACAACAACAACAACAACAACAACAACAACAACAACAACAACAACAACAACAACAACAACAACAACAACAACACGCCGCACCGTGCAAGCCCACTTCAGCCACGCACTCAGACACAGTGAATGACCGTTCGGCCTCCTCACTCTGATGTTCATGCAGTGCTTTTGCTGTTGCTCCAAAAGTTTGCCTCCAATATAACGTAATGCCAGAGCGGCCGACTCTGAGAAATGCACGGCTCGAACTTGCAGGAGCCTTGGCTCGCAGCCGCTTATTTGTCGGCCCGAGCGTGTTTCTGGAGGTCCCATCAGCATGATATGGTTGCAGTCAAAGCTCGTGCCAACTTACAAGCCAGGTCCCGTCATGTAAGTTAGAGTCCCCCGAGCTCGAGCCCTCCATCTCACCCCCCCTGGCGCCCCCTGGACAGGGGGAGAGCCGGGAATCGGGGGGGCACTGGCCAGAGGCCACTCAAATACGCAACAAGCCAAAAAATAGAAACCAAAAAGACCGTGATGGACCCAACCCACTTGCATCCAGTGGCCAGGTTAGTCTACCCACATTGCTATATGGATGGTAGCATCGTGAGAACCGCAATTCGTTGCGCGAGCTAGGTGGGATGCCCGACCGCCGCACGACTCACAGGACCCTCGCCCACCGCGGGAAGGAGCTGGGGACTGGCTGGGACGCCACGAGAAGTCGAGGCGCTGAGTCTCTGCAAGACGCTATCCAGCTGGACCCCCAGTCAGCCCTCGAAAGTGACGGTCATTTCGCAGATCGCAGCCCCCGAAGGATGGTCAAGTCTAATCCAACCAACCCTTTTGGGGCGTAGGTGGTTTAACGAGTTTTGTCTTCTCCGCCCAAGATCCCTCCCTCCCCTGCGAGAGCGAGGTGCTTATCACTGTGCCCTGTTGTCTATTACTATATACCCCCTTCCCCCATGCGACTGGCAGCCAACAAGAAACAATGCCGACCACCATGATCACACCCCTCAACAATCCCAGTCAAAGAAGACAGTACAAACACACACTCTGGCTCCTAATTCGGAGCATGCGCAGCCAACCCGATGCGGGCCCCCCCACCATCCCTGTCAAAGAACAATACAAAATACAGTCTGGGGCAAAGTCTTGAGTCATGTTCGTGAGGTCCGCGAGCACTTTCTGTATTTCTTGACAGGGACGGCGGGGGTGTCAACATATTGTCTGCTGTACGCAGGGCCACCATCCCTGCCCAAAAACAATACAGAATGCCGCAGGGCTACCGTCCATAACAAAATATCATACTTCATGCACCGCGGCTAAATCTGGATCATGCGTGGCCACCCCGCGCTCACTGTCAACTGTTTTTGTTGACAGGGACAGCGGGGGCGGTACGCCTATGGCCTGCTGTGCGCAGGCCCACGAGACACAATCATGGGCACTGGTTTTCGACAAGGATGGTTGGAGCCGACATGTTTCCCGATGTGCGCTGTCACATGCGCAGGTGCACCTGACATACTCTGCACGTGCCCCGAACGTGACGCACCTGGCGCGGCTGGAGTATGCGGCACACCTGGCGCACGTGGAGCACTTGGCGCATCCGGCGCACCAGGAGTGCCTGACACGCTCGGGCCCCAGGTGTGTCTGGCGCGCGTGGAGCCTGGCGCGCGTGGCGCACCTCGCCCCAGCGTCGCGCACATGGGGTTCGGTGTTGGTTCCCAGTAGCTGTCCATCCAATGACGACCGCTGAACATGCTGAGGCTCGGGTGTTACTTCCGTGTTGGGAGAGCGGTAGGAGTGAGCTAGACAGCTTAATGCTTGATATCTATGAGGGTGTCTTGACCCTTCCCCCTCCCCCCCTGGGTCTGGACGGGGCGTCCCGCGAGGGGTTAAAGCGTCCAAGATGGCCCAAGATGGCCCCATGAGGGCCGCAAAGAGCCCGAGATGGCCTCAAGATGGTTCAAGATAGCCGAAGATGGCTCAAGGTAGCTTCCGACATCTCTCCAAGAGGCTCCGAGGCGGCCCCAAGACGGTTTCAAGTGCCCTTCGAGCAGTCAAAGGCCCCCAAGAGGCCAAAATTGCTCCAAAACCTTCGGGAGACATATGTTTTTTCGCCTTTTCGCATTTTCGCTTCCGATGAGCTCTGAAGCCTCAAGATGGCGGCCCCAAGACGGCCCAACAGAGCACCACGAGGGACCCAAGAAGGCCACAAGATGGCCCCAAGAGCGCCACAAGAGCGCCCCGAGACGGCCCCAAGACGCAGTGCTTAATCCTCCGAGGGGGGGGCTGAATCTAATACCCCCCTCTTTTGGAAGAGTGATGTCCACAGTTGCCCCAAGAGGCCTCCCAGACCTCCCAAAGGAGCCCCAAGAGGGCCTCTAGACCCCCAGAAAGAGCCCCAAGAGGGCCCCAGGAGTGTCCCAAGTGGCTCTGCGCGGACCCCAAGAGCAAGATGGCTCCAAGAGACCTCCGAGAAAACACTTCCATGATCAAGGCAACTCGCCTGGCAATATATTTCTGGATAGGCTGGTGAGGATAATTTGTTTGGTCGCGGCCGCAAGCGAAGGCGCAGGCGGCGGGTCGCTAAGTTCGGGGCGCGGTCCTTACCAATTTGCAGCGAGCAGCAAACTAGAGCGCGGGGTCAAACCTAAGCTGCAAAACTGGTGAGGATACTTCTTTGGGGGTCGCGGCCACCAGCGAAGAGCGCAGGCGGCGAACAGGGTGTCCGGGCCGACGGGCGCCAAGGGGAGCGCCACCCCGCCCGCCGCCGCCGCCGCCCGCCGTCGCCGCCCGCCGCCGCCCGCCGTCGCCGCCCGCCGCCGCCGCCCGCCGCGCCCGCCGCCGCCCGCCCGTCGCCGCCCGCCGCCGCCGCCCGAAGCCGCCCGCCGCTGCCCGCCGTAGCCGCCCGCCCGCCGTCGCCGCCAGCCAGGCGCGCCTCCGCGCGAAGGCGGCGCCAAGGTGGCCGCGTGGGCGGCCGCGCGCCCCGCGCCCCGGCGGGGGGCCCACCGGGCCGCCCCGCTCGCCCCCCGCCAGGACGGAGCCAGGACGAGCATAAATGCGGGCAACGGCAAATCTCGAGTAGGGGATCGACTACAGAATTGATGTATGCCAAAATAAATTCCCCCGTCGAATCTCAATGAATTTCGGGGCAATGCAATGTTGTAGTCTTTCCCCTATCCTTAGATCGAGAATCTCTGAAATTTGGCAGCTCTGGAAAATTCATCGGGCGTCGCGGTTATCTTCCGAACGTTCCGGAAAGCTCTGAAAGCGTCCCAGAACGCGCTGAAACGGATTTACCCTCGTCCTGGCCCCGTCCGAGCTCCCGCCCCCCCGCCCCTCAGCAGGAGGGCGTTCCTTGCGGCGCGTGCGGCCGCGAGCGCTGCGGGGATCGAAGGTGCAAAGGGATCGAGGTAGGAGGGTCGGGGGAGAATCGAGGCCCGAGGATCCGGGATCGAACCTTTCCGCCCGTCAAGCTCGGATCGCAGGGCTTTGATGATCGACGTGAATCGGCGTGCTGGTTTTTGGGAGGGCCTTCGAGAAGGTCTCTGAACAACTCCGTCGGGTTCGTGGTAACCTCGGGGGTCATCCTATCGGGCGCTTTTTTGGCTACGGCCGACGTCGTCGGGTCGTCGGCAGCGTCGCCCCCCCGCGTCGCCCTACTTGCCCTCCTCCTCCCCTCCTCCTCCTCCTCCTCCTCCTCCTCCTTCCTCCTCCTCCTTCTGCTCCTCCTCCTCTTCCTCCTCTCCTCCTCCTCCTCCTCCTCTTCCTCCTCCTCCTCCTCTTCCTCCTCCTCCTCCTCCTCCTCCTCCTCCCCCTCCTCCTGCTCCTCCTCCTCCGCCCCCTCCAGTCCTCCTTACTGATCCCCTGTCACAATAACGCAACCATCAGCATCACATGCACCATGAACATGACAAAGATCGATCTCACCATCACTTCAAGCACCGCCGTCACCTCATCATCCTGATCATCCTTTTCACCACGCCACGCCATCCACCGTGCAGGTAGCGCGGCCGCCGGGCCATCGGGTAGTGCACGAGGCCCTCTGGCTTCAACTTGGGGGTCGACAGCGGGATCGACAAGCGCCCCAGGCCGGCCCCCAGCCCGACCCTGGATGGGACCCCGGGGGCGGGAGGGAGGACAGGAGAGGGGGGACGAGAAGGAACAGGAAGAGGGAACAAGAAAGGAGGGGGGGTCGCACTGGGGGCAAGCCGGGAGGAGAGGAACGGAGGGCTCGCGGCCACAGGTGGGTGGCCGCACCCGCGGCGGCGTCAATCGCCACCTGGCGCATTGTAAAACACCGACCCCTCTGGGGCCGCGCCAGAGCGCAAAAATAGCAGCGGTAACAAAACTGCAAAAGGCGCCCTGGCGCCCCTGCCAACAACGGCACTAGCGCCCCAAATGAACAGCGACGCAAGTTTTTGCGCCTGCGCTGGCGACCAAAAGCCGGTAAACAGTGCGTCGCTGATTTAGGAACTCCACAACTCGAGTTTTTCCCAACCTATTCGAAAATGTATATATTGGGAAACGTCTTCAAATGGGCGTCTACTCCAAGAGTCGTCGCGGAGGGTTGTTCCGTGACAACCTACGCGGCGTCTAGTTTCCAGACAAGGAGATCTGAAATCACCTGCCCGGCTAGGTTGGCTGTGCCACCGGCCAGTCAAACTCCCTCTCTTCGTGACCACAACTCGGCGGCACCGCCGCCACCGCTATCGGGCCCACTGCCACTCGGCAGTCGGCCCCATGGGGCCCACTGCCGCTCGCCATCCTCCTCCTTGCCCTCCTCCTCCTTCTCCACCATCCTCCCCCCTCTTGGGGTATCGGATGGTTTCCCCCACCATTTGTTCTTCTGCATGCCCCCCCACTTCCCTGATCACCGCAACTCTCCATGGCATCGTTTCTGGATGGGCTGGCCGGGATTTGTTTGGGCACGCTGGCTCGCGAAGCACGTCGAAAGCCGCGCGGGACAGGCGGGCTACGCGCCGACGGAAGGAAAAAACAGCGAGCAAGAGCGGCCCCATCAGAAGCCCCGCTGAGCTCAACGCGGCCAGAACGGCGCGGAACCAGGAGCCGGTGACGGCTGGTGGGAGATTTTTGTTTGATCGCGACCGCGGCGGGACGTCGGGCGGCGCCCAGGAACGTAGCACAGGGGCAACGGCCTAAATTCGCGCACAGGGAGAAGGAGGGGCGAAGAGAGACAAGAGAAAGCGGGGAGGAGAACAAACGGGAGGCGAGCCTCGCTGCCGCGCACAGGACGGCGCACACCAGGAATACCTTCCAGGCGAAGTGCAACACAAAAACTGTGGAATTCAACTTGACCGACAGCTCGAACATGCCGAGGAGGAACACCAGCAAGACGAACAGCGAGCCCAGGGCCAAGCCAAGGCACCGCGGATGCGAGTGACAGCGATGTCGCGCGCCTCGGTGGATGCCGACCAACGCCATGCAGGCGCTCAACGGAGCAAGTCCGGATCGCCAGACACCGACGAGACAGGTGTCGGGGGTGCCGTCAGGGTGGGTGCGAGCAGCACGCGCCACCAGGAAGGCTAAGGGGCCCAGCTTGAGGACCGACAGGGATGAGCCTGCGCGGTGAGGGGGGACCGGGAGTCCGTCGACCCCGTGCGGGGAGGGAGGCCGTGGACCCAGGAAATAAGGCCGGCAGACACAGAGAGGCAGCCGGTGACAGGGGGGGCTGGTGGGGGCACGCGAAGCGTCAACAATTCGCAAGAGCTTCACGGATTGAGGGCGGGTGGTTTTCAAAATGTGGCTCTCGTCTAAGCGCCGCGCACATTCCAAAAATTACAGGAGATCCACGGAGTGAGGGCGGATCCTTTTCAAAATGTGGCTCTCGCCTGGGCGCCGCGCACATAATTTTGAATCATTCGCAAGAGCTTTACGGATTGAGGGCGGCTCCTCTTCAAAAGTTGACTCTCGCCCCAACGCCGCGCAGATTCTATTAAACAAGTTGCAGGAGCTTCATTGATCATTACGGTTAACGATACCAGAGACATGCTGTGAAACGAGTCAGGCCTGTCAGGGCGCAACCGTTACGTTGATTCGCGGTGTTGAAATCCCAGGAATGGTGATCTGGCACGGTTCAGGATCGCCAAGACGCATCAGTCAGGTTGATTCGTGGCGTTGAAGTCCTGAGAAGGGTGTGCTGTCACGCTAAAAGATTGTCACTCAGATGTCGTCCAACGGGGCACGTCCCTCAGTGGAAACGAATAGTTTAGGGACCTATGAAGGGGGAGCTTGGAAGGAGGGTGGATTCCAACATCGTTGATGAGTCTTGGGTTTACACTGGTCCTCCTCTTCATCATCATCCTCCTCCCACTAATTCACCTTTATTCTTCCTCCCTCCTCCCCCCGTTCCCCATGAACATCGAGCGACCTTTATTATGCGTCCTCCCGACGCGCTCGAATACGCCTGATTCACCGAGGCGTTGCACTCAACGGCTATCGGAAAGGTCTGAAAATCTCATATTTGGAAACCCGAACTAGGAAGGGAAAAAAGGCACGATGCTCAACAACAAATGTGTTCCCAACCCGACAGCGGCCGCTGTTGGGCAGGCGGCCTTCTGTCTCAAATGGACGACGTCCGCGGCGACGCCGACAGCGATCCCTGTTCAAAACGAATCGGAAGATTGCCGTCGGTCCTTGTACCGTTCGGAGGATCGTACCGATCGTGCCGATAGGAGGTTGCGGAGGAGGCTCGTGCCGATGGGGGGCGTCACGGAAGAGGATGGTCTGCCAAGGGTCGGTGAGGCCGCCCCTGAATCACCACCCGCCCGAAGAACCCCTGGCAGGGCCGCCGTTGTTGAAGGGGCCCACAAACACACAAATAAATACACACCAATAAAAAGATTCCCCATATTTTCCCATATGTTCTGGATTTTTGTCTTCCCCCCCACTTCCCATATTTCCCCATATTTTCCTGGGGATCGACACTTAATTGTGTCTGTGTTTTTGTTCCCTCCTGAATTGTCTCGACGGGCCCTCCTCCTGGCGGGGCGGAGGCGCGCGCGGCGTGCTCGTTTTCTGGAACGGCGGCTGCTTGGCAGCCTCCCAGCGCGGGGCCGCACGGGGGGCCATGGCCCGGCACGGGGCGCCCCCTTTTGAAGGGAGGCGCCGCCGGGGGGGGGGGGGCGCGGAAGGCCGGCACAAGGAGGAGGAGGCGGAGGAGGAGGAGGAGGAGGACGAGGAGGACGAGGGACGAGGAGGGGGGGGGGAGGGGGGGGAGGAGACGGAAGGCGAGCAAGAAAAGGGGGAGGAGGAGGAGAGATGGAGGAAGGGAACGCGGGAGGTAAGAGGAATGAGGGGGTGGAGGGAAGGGGAGGGGGGGCGGGGGAGGAGGAAGAAGAGGCGCAAGAGGATTTTTTTTCCGTCTCACGTTTTCACGTCTGGGGGTGCATCCGGGTGGCCGCCGAATACGGCCAAAAGCCGCCTCTGCGCGCTGGCTGGGCGGCGCGCAGGACAGCTGAAACACCCTGCCCGCAGGCGACTGCAGGCAACAGACCGCCGACCTGGTGACGGCGGTGCCGATACCTGCAAAGAGGAGCTCAGCAGGCAACACGACAAGGCTTTGCCCCCGTGGCCAGGCCAGGAAACTGCGCCAAAAATGTGTCGGCGCCGAAGACCGCCCGAAGAGCCACAGTCGGGGAGCTCAGAGCCTGAGGAGGAGGAGGAGGAGGAGGAGGAGGAGGAGGAGGAGGAGGAGGAGGAGGAGGAGGAGGAGGAGGAGAAGGAGAAGGAGGAGGAGGAGAGGAGGAGGAGGAGGAGGAGGAGGACGGGGAGGAGCAGGCGGAGGAGGAGGAGGAGGAGGAGGAGGAGGAGGAGGAGGAGGACGAGGAGGGGAGAGAGAGAGAGAGAGGGGAAAGTGAAGGGGAAGAGGGGGGGGGGGGGGGCAATATTCAATCGGCAACCAGCAAAAAAGGAAGGAATAAGGACGAAAGTAAAAACACGCACCCACGCACGCTCTTGATCTGCGGGGCGAGAGCGAGCCCCTTCCGCTAGAAGCTAGGCGGGCTACGCGCAGCTTTAGTTAGGGAGACAGGGCACAGGAAGGCGGGGCCGCAGGCGGCCAGGAGCGGGCGGGGCCCGGGGAACAGGCGGCGCCGAAGTGGATGTACAGGAAAGGTACGCTTTGGACAAGAACCGAGGGCGAAGTCCCGGAAGGCGAAGGAAGTGGTGTTGCCGTCAACGGCGCTCCGCGAACACCAGCCTCAAGCGCTGCAGGGGGGGATGCGCCACGTGACCAGGTCGACGCCCAGGAGGAAGAAGAGCACCACGAAGACGATGAGCAACGTTGCGCCACCAGATGATGCAGAGGAGGCCCAGGGTGGTAGTCCAATCCACGACCAGGCAGCAGTGAAGCTTGAGGTGCGGCCTCCAGACGAACTGGCCGCCCATGACCGACAGGAAGCCGGTGAGCTGCAGGGAGAAAACCTGTCCTGCATCGGCAGCGCGTGAAGACGGGCAGCAGCCACACACGATGCGCTGACGTCCGCAATGCCAAGGGCCGGGCCTGAGCCGCGCAGCGCCATGGCTAGCGGGGCCGCCGAGGCGGTGCAGCGCCTAGCACCGGGCCGAAGCCAGCGCAGTGCCGGGCGCTGCCGCCATGGGAGGGGGGGGAAGCGAGCGGGAGGGGAAGAAGCGAACAGGAAGGAGAAGGGCCGGTGGTGACCGCCAGCCGTCGACGTGCCAGCCCGCACCATCGGTGCTCACAAGGGTGGAGCTGGGCACCCAGTGGGATCAGGTGGGACACACGGTCCCAATACACGTTAAAGACAGGAGGGGGAGGAGGGGAGCAGGTCACCGAAGAGGGAGGAGGGGAACAGGTCGCCGAAGCCGTGGATCAGGCTGACTTGGACGCAAACTGACTGGCGTCAGCGCGTAGCCCTGCCCCCCGTGGCAGCGCCCCTCATGTCGCGCATGCCCGTCTCGTGCGCCCACCTAAGACGGGAGTGCCGATGGGCTACCAGGTTCCTGCAGCCGGCGCTGCAGCCTCTGCCGTTGTCGGAAGAGGTAGGGGATCAGGAGGACACGCGGTCCCAGGCCCAGGGGCGAAGGGGGAGGGGGAAAGGGGATCAGGTGGTGTGCATGGCCAGCGGTGTGTTGGTTGCACACAGAGTACTGCCGCAGTCTGCAGGGAACGGAATGAGCCGGGCGTGACACCCTGCGCACTGGCAGGGGGGGGGCGGGACCCGAGCAGCCACACACACACACACACACACACGCACAAACACCAACAACCACGCACACTGCCGTTCAGCACGACAGGCACACAGTCACGAGCAGGAGGGGGCAGGAGGAGGTTGTGGGGAACGACGAGGAACGGAAGGATGATAAGGAAAAAGTGGGAGGGGGGAAGGTCGAGACCGCGGGGGGGGCATGAGGACGAGGGGGGGAGAGGGAAGACGAGAAGAACAGGGAGAACAAGAGGGGAGGGGAATGGGTCACCGTGAAAAGAGGCGCGAACAGGAAAGGGCGGAGATTGCGGGAAAAAGGCGCGCACGGGAAGCGGGAACAGACATAGGGAGGAGGAGAACGAGGAGGAGGAGGAGGACCTGTGCCCCCCGCAGGCGGGCACCCACCGTCACAGCCCACTGACAGGGAGGCGCCCAGCAGCGCAGTGCACGCGGGCGGGAAAGCAGACAAAGGGGGGCGGCGCAGCAGCGGCGGTGGCGGCGAGGGCACTCGCTCGACGCTCCTGGGAACTCCCCGGCGCGTGAGCGGCAGGAGAGGG